TGCTTCTCACCCCACCCCACCAGCGAGTAGGCTGGGGGTGCACAAGAAGTTGGGAGGGGGCACAGCCAGGACAGCTGACCCCAACTGACCACAGGGATACCCTAACATGCAACATCATGCTCAGCAATAAAAGCTGTAGGAAGGAGAAGGAAGGGGTGGGATGTTCGGAGTTATGGCACTTGCCTTCCCAAGTAACCATTAGGTGTGATGAAGCTCTGCTTTCCTGGAAATGGCTAAGTATCTGCCTGCTGATGGGAAGTAGCGAATGAATTCCTTATTTTGCTTTGCTTGCACGCACAGCTTTTGCCTTACCTATTAAACTGTCTTTATCTCAAGCCATGAGATTTCTCCCTTTTACCCTTCCAGTTCTCTCCCCCATCCCACTGCGGGGCAGTGAGCGAGTGGCTGTGTGGTGCTGAGCCGACTACTGGGGTTAAACCATGACAGAGCTACAACACTCCACTGAACACAACCCCTGTCTCTGACCATTGCTATTTTTGTTTATTTATAACAAATTTTTTTTCATATAACTGAGTTTCTGCTTGGATTAAATCTCTTAATGTAATTCATTAAAAATAGATTTCTGCATCAATTTGGGTATTACATGTCTACTTCAATATAAAAAAGCATGATGAAAGTTTGAAACCAGTATTCATTGTCCTATTCATAAATAGGCTCACAAACAACAAGGAGCTTGCCTCTTGTGCGGTATAATATTAAATCAGAAGGAGAAAAAATTTCTGTATAAACAAGTAATACAATTGGAGTGCTGAGTAATTTCAGGAGATTAGTGATAAATGCGCACAAGTTGATTATTCAACGTAAAGCTGAGGGTCATTATCCTCAGCTGGTTATTAATGCCCATGAAATGACTGGTATTGAGATAGTAATTACTATTATAATGAAAATGGGGGGGAAAAAAAAGCATGACATTTTTCTTATGAAGCTGTCTCAGTTTCTAAAGAATTCATGTTTCTCTCATCACCCAATCAAGTTGTCTGAATCATTTTTAACCCTTTATACAGTTTATTCATCCTACTACAATTTTCATGTTGTTGCCTCACTTAGGATTTTGTTTCCCACCGTATATCCTGGAATTTTGGGGGTACAACAAGGGGCAACAGCGATGGGAAAAAAGACAATGCACACAAATCCCCCAAAAACAGAAAATAAAGAAAAAATATTTTCAGAATGTTTTCTCTATAAAGTGTGCTCCATGATGGGTAGGAGATTGCATTATTACGCTATACACTATCTAGCTGTTTATTCTGCATTTAGTAGTGCTTTTAGCAATAGCACACATCCCATGTCATTGCATAGCAGCTGTGGAATTCTTTGTTCCAAAACAGAATTCACCTTGTAGCCTTACAACATGCAGAACCAATACCGTCAAGTTAACTTGGTCAGAAATCATGAACAAATTTGGCCCTAAAATGAAGAACCATCTTTAAAAATTTGCAACTTCACAAATCAAGTTTGTGGTGTTCTGATGTACCTTCTGAGGACTTTTGAGCCTTTAGAGTTCTTTTTTTTCACATTTCTATTAGAAGAGCTAGAAACTTATTATGGACAGAACAAATTTGTTTCCTGCTAGAAACACTATCATTCTGTTTCCATTGTGAAAGCCCCACACATGCTGCATCATTACAACTTCCCACCTTAGAAACTGAAAAACTCAATCTAAACTAAAAGCTTTTAAAATAAGCTAAGAAAGTTAAAAAATACATGTATTGCCCTATAGGTTGCTAAAGCAAACAAGATACAGATATTCATTACTCCTAGTACTTTCTTCTAAAGCTTTTCCGTGAACACTTTTCTAAGAAGGGGATCCCAGGAAAGCTATAGGATGTATTGAGTTTCTGCTGGAAAATTTGCAGTTGCTTCTGGAATGTTTCACTGTGTATAAAAGAGAGGAAGTAGAGCAAGGTTCAAAACAGTTTTAGGCAAGAATGGCTGATAGGATGTTGCTCTGAGGGCTGCAAACCAAATTCTGCATGGTGGAATAAAACCAGATAATGGTGGACACTGATAAGTGACTTGCAGTGCAGCTTGGGAGAGTGATTTGTCCTTCTAGCCTGCTTAAGCTTTTTGGAGAGTTTGAGGCAAAGCCTAATGATGCATGTCTGCTAGCCAAACAAATCATTCAATACTGGACAGCATCGAAACTGGACTGTTTGGCTATTTGGAAAGAGTGTGAGAAGCAAAAAAAAAAAAAAAAAAATTGTTTAAGTTCCGAAAGCTCTGAATGGCATTGAGCAGAGCAGACTTTAGAAAACATGGCTAGTCCTCTGGAAATAAAGACATGTTTTTGACAGCCAAGGCCAAAGCATGGTCTGTCAATTTTCCAGAATAGAAGGAAAAATAGTAAGTTCTTTGGGAGTTGAACCTTGTCTGGAAAAGAAGTAATGTAATGGTGACAGGGGAACCAAACATAATTATGCATCACAGCAGGTAATAGGATTCAAAAACATAGTGAAAAATCAAGGGCACGTATTGTTGCTAGTGACAGATCAACAACACCTGGGTTGCAGTACGGATATCTTGTATCTGCCACCTAAAGCCAGGACGTGCTAGAGTGACACACATGCAGTGGAGTGGGTCAAAGTCTACAACAATAGCTGTTACATGCACACATTAACAATTCTAAGCAAGAAGAAAAAAAAATCAAATCTAGACAACATACTTCTAAACTTCTAAGGAGATTCATACTTATAAGGAGATTTCACTCCATTCCTTTCACCCACTCCAAAATCAATTTTGTCTTTGCTACAAGTCCAATGAACAGAGCACAAATCAGCACCGACTGTGGATAACATATTATCAGCGCTCCTGAACAAGTTGCATGACTCAGGGGAAACACCATGTGACTTCCAATTTTCCTGTGCTCCTGGGAAAATCAAATACATAGCACATCCACCAATGTGAAGAAGGATGCTGAGCATTCACTGGCCTTCTCCAGACTTTATGTATGTGTGGAAATGTACTGCTTGCTCTTTTCCCCCTGTTTCCTCCTGCAGGATAAACATAGCATAGAGAAGAATACCTTATACTACACTGTCATCCCGTGTGGCTATGAAGAATATTCTCTTATGTCTCCTCTAAAATAAAATTTCCAAAAATGTAGAAAAATAACTTAAGATTCTACAGAACAACTACTCTCTAGGGAATTCCAGCACAGCAGGAAAATAAGTAGTCCTGAATGAATCAGGAAAAATAGAATGTTAATTATTTTACTGCTGTTAGTCTCGTGCATTTCTGTGGCATTCCTACGTTACATGTTGAAAGCACTAGCATATCTGCCTGCAATCTTTAAGCATCCTTTACATTTCAGCGATTACATTTACAGCAATAGGACATGAGGAAATGGGATGAAGCTGCGTCAGGGGAAGTTCAGATTGGACATTAGGAAAAGGTTCTTCACTGAGAGGGTGGTCGGCCACTGGAACAGGCTCCCCAGGGAAATGGTCACAGCACCAAGCCTGTCAGAGTTCAAGGAGCATCTGGACAACGCTCTTAATCATATGGTTTAGTTTTAAGTAGTCCTGCCAGGAGCAGGGAATTGGACTCGATGATCCTTGTGGGCCCCTTCAACTTGAGATATTCTGTGATTCTATGATTTCCATTAATAGATAGCTTATTTTTATAGTAGTTTGTGTAAAATACTCAAGTCCATATTCAGCACACACCTGCTTCATTACAGTTAACTGAAGTAAGATGCTTTTTGCCAGTCTGTTTGTGAGATAAATGCGTATACAACTACAACACATTAATACATTTATAAGACTTGCTAGATCTTGATGTTAAAAATGAGAGCCTTTTTCTTTTTTTTTTTTTCCATAAGTTGTGTGATGTTTTTTTTCTACAGCTCCAAATCTTGGGAGCTTGTGATTAGGACAAAAATTTAAAATACTTGAAAACACTTACAAACAAATCTGTTAGACCTCATGGCTGCAAAAGTGATTTGTAAACATGATTCAAGTATACCCTGAAGGTTTAAAGAGTGAATTATTATTTTATTTTGGGAGTGCTGAATCATGATTTTTCAATATTTACAGCTGGCAGCTGCAAGACACTTGTAAGCTGGAATTCCAATTTAATGAGTAGCCTACAATAATATTCAGACTAACATTTGAAACTTTTCAAGCTGGAGTCAATCCATACAGAAAAGTTTGCAGAGATAATAGATTACTGAAAAATATCACTGAAGCACCAGGAACTATAAATTCTTAAAATCTCTTAATATCTGTATTGGGTGGGGAGGGGGTATATGCTTGTTTATTTGTTTTAGAAAACCTAACTGCAGATCCCCAGGCTTTAAAATGCTGATTACTGCAAAGACACAGAACAGACTTACTTGATGGAAGTAGTGAACTTTTTTTGCGCTAAAGAATATCTGAGATGATAAATAACAGGCTAGCAGGTGAAAAGAATGAGAAATGCTAAGCCTATGTTGTGGACTAGAAGGACATTTTTCATGTATTTTCTTTCTTGTGTTCGTCAAAGGTTTCCTGCAGGAAAGATATACCATCTCTAGGACAAGGCATTTGCCTAGTTTCAAAGACCATTAAATTTTTTTTTCATCCCCTGCACTTTTGTGCTCGCAACCACTTATTCTGCTTGTTGTGCTGTACTCAAACATTTTACTAAATATGTCAGCTTCATCCTTTTAACCCTGTAATGGTAGAGTATTATAATAAAATATACTTCTATTTAAATAAAACTTTTGTTCAGCTGTGATTTTATATGGGAAAAATGTGAGGAAATTGCTGCCAAACTGCTACCACTATCATCTGAGTGAAGAAAACAGATGTGGCCAAAAAAAAGGGCTTAGATTAGCTAATATGTCCCACATACATTTCTTCCAGTCTATGCATCCATGTATTATAATAGACCATGTACTGCACTAAGTTTAAAGTGAAATTGCAATCACATAAACAGACAGATGATACATTTGGGTTTAGCACATCATAATTAACTTTTTCTTTTTAAATTGAACAGACTCACCTGTTAGAAGAGAAATTGTAATAACCACTTTCCTCTAGAACCTCTTCAATTAGAGTCTACAAGATAAAAGAAATTCATTTCAGTAAAATATCTTTATTAAAAGTAATAAATTAATACATATAGGTATATTTATAGCTTACCTGCAACTGTTCATATGTCATCCCTTCTGCTATGTCAGAAGTGCCAACAATACCTTCAAGTAAAAGGCAAGTAATGTTATACTACTGAATTCGGGGTTTAAGCTCCCTCATCAGTTTCTTAGCAATTCCAGTACAAATATAACGACAAGAGAGACGCTTGATTATCAGCAGCTTATTCCACTGACCACAATGACCCCCTGCAAAGGTGGGAGGCATCTTATGGCATGATGTGAACATTTGAGACACGCAATGTTATCACATTATGAAAGAGTTCTAACTGATGGAAAATATTTTAAATACTTAATGTCACACAACACAGCAATGCAACTTTCTTATTCTTCCCCACTTACAATTTATAGTGGAAAGGGCACACAGCCAGCAGCAATTTGTGAGGACAAAGGTATTCTTTGCAGGTTGAGAGATTCAAAAATTAAAGATACTGAACATCAGATCAAATTGCATTGTTGTCTCTGGGAACAAAATAAAGCTCACATTTAAAGTGATTGTTAGGGACTCATTTCCTACTCAAGTATCAGCCTTGACACCTAGTATTATTTTCACTTTTTGCAATAAGCTGTGGAACTGATATGCCAGTTTCAACACAAAGGCCAGCAAAACCAAAGTTTCTCACCCTTCTTTCTGGCACCACAGTTTTTAATGCTACTATGTCCTCTAGTCCATGCATTGTGACATAGCTTTTCCTGTATTTAGGAGAATGGAAATGGCACAAATCCCAAAATATAGGCTGCACAAAAAGTTATTTCCCTTATGTCCATTGCACAAAGAGACATATGATGAAGCAAGTCTCTGAACTAGGAATAGTAGTTCCCCACCCTGGATAATGCTAGTGATGGTAGGTTTGATTAAAGATGGAGTTCATGATTTGTCACTCTGAGTATCACTAGTCCAAAGTATATTTGACACTATTCATTTTCTAAAGTATATGTATACACTTTACACTAGATAGATGTGGTATAGCATGTAGCATTTCTCTCCTCAAGTTTGTAGGGCTTGATCTAGCTAGGTCATTAAATCATCCCAGTATAACTGTTTCAAGCATGACAGAAGAACAACATAGGGTTTAAACAGAGTTTGTTTAAAAATCACGTGCAAGGACAGGTAAATCCTAAGTAGGATATTTTCAGTTACAAACATTTCTATTGATTTTCATGGATTAACCATGTGTTATTTGCACCTTTGATATTTCTTTGTAATTCCAAAGTACACTCTCTTAAATCAGTAGAATGTTCCATCAGTGGTAAACTGCATATCTTACTAGGAATTACACAAAACAAACAAACAAAAAAAAACCCTGATAATGAAAATCAGTATAGTCAACCTAACTTTGCTGTCCTTAAAGACAGATCTTAGAGCAGCAATTCCTTCTGCTTTGATACCATACACTTTATTAGAAATATATACACCACCATAGAGGTTTTATTGCTTTCTTTACCTTTTCTATCATCTGGAAGCAACATATTTCCACCTGAAGAGAGAAGTACCACATGCCAATCTGCTGTGAAGAAGTTGGGCTCAATCAATTCAGGAGAACCTTGCAGCAGCTGGGGAAGAAAAAAAAAAGAGAAAAAAGCAGAAGACACCTGAAATCTCCACCCTTCCCATTTGCCAAAACTACAGACTTCTATGAGGCAGTTTACCCTTTCCTATGTTTCCCAGTGCAATCAGAAGTCAAAGGAGATTTCAATACTTTTTAGATTAATGAAAAAGTGGTGAACGCAATTATGAACGTCCTACCTTCTTCTCTCCAGAAACACTGACTGAACATTGCAAGCTGCCAATCTGCACTCAGTATAAAGCACTGAGTTCTTTAGACTATCTGAATAAAATGTCATAAACTATATATTTGTGTAAAACAAACAGGGAAGTGTATTCCCTTGAACCTAGGAGAGAAACAGCCGATGACTCTGGTTTTCAAAACCGGGGCTTCAAGTGAAATTGTTAGTCCATATTCAAGTGGTATAATTCCCATTAGAGGGATCCCAGCACTTCTGAAACCTGAAAGGCAGTTTAGCTACTTGATTATATAAACTTTAAAATACCTAGCTTTGAAAATATCCACTGGTAACAACTCTGACATGAAAAGATCTTTGTGAGCAGGAGAGAAATTCCAGTTATACATTTCTGCAGCATGTTCAGACTTTTACAGTTACAGAAACAGAACTATATCTGTTGTTGGAAGACCTTTATCCCACCACTGATCAGTGAAGGAATCTTTTCGTCTGTTATTCTAATTAGGTTTTCTAATTCAGCATAGTTAAAAACCCATGTTTTTTAAATTTTATTTGCAGAAATTGCAAAACTTCATAACAACACTTGCTGGAAGAGTTCAACCTAATTCTTTTCTCTATTTAGGTTCTTCCTATTACCGCCAAATTATATCCATGTTATCCAATGCATTTATGGTGGTGATTTTGGTAAAATATGTACCATTTATTCACTGATGCTTATCAATTCTCCTTCCTTCTAACTGCGCTTTTTGTTGTTGCTTTCTATTAATAGTTTCTATAACTATTTCCTTCAAGGTAGAAAAATCCAGAATTGCATTCAGCATTTCAAACATCTTCAATTTACTACCATTTACTTTTTAATAGTGTATTTCTTCCCTTTTCTTCAGGTTTAAATCCAATAGTTTTGAAACTAACACAATTTTACACTTGATAACATTTATAAATTTATAAATAAATAGGTTCCTTTATGTCTGGGCATTTGAAAATTAGGTTAATTTTATAATAAACATTTCCTTTTTCTTATCATATTTTTGGGCATCCTTTCCTGAAAACATCAACTCAATACACAATTAGCAAATATTTCCTTAGATTTAGTGTTATGGCTTAAATACAGGAATCCCAGCTTGATTTACAGGACAGCAAATTGGCATGAAACCGATGGCTCAGAGAGAGGCATCCTTAACTATCTTTCAAATGTACTACCAATGTAAACACTAAGTAGCCACCTTCCATGGAGCTTAAGCATCTCAGATTATTACAAAAGTACAGGAAGGATTTAGCATTTGGGGTCAGTCCATTCCATAGCAAACAATGACTTGGAAGATTGCACAATTCAGTGCAAGTAGGTGACAATCAAATTAGATTACACAGGGGAATTATGTGAGTGATAAGAAATTATCTTTGCTATCAAATTTTAGATACAGTAACATACCTAATAACTGCTTTGTCATCAGTTAAAAAATGATATATCTTAGCTTCACGGTCTCCCACAGTACACAGATGCTGAGGATGTCATTTTCAGATCCTCTGCTGTCTACAGTCTTCTCAGGAAGTTTTGAAGGAACATTTAGAAATTCTGACATTGGTCATTAGCTCTTTCTCTGTTGGAGAGTGCCCAGCATGTCATTGGAAAACATGCAGGCATGGTTCTTTAGTCATGCCATTCCTGCAAATCTGCAGTATTTTTAAACTGATGACTGTAAACCGTTTCTGACACACTATGCAATAATGGGACAAGGTATGCTATATTCAAGACACTCTGGGACAGTGCTTTCTTAAAATTCATAGTTTTAGTAGGAATACATTCCAAAACATGGATAATAATGGGAAACTAATAGTAAATTAAGAAGATCTTACATAAATTAAGAGCTTACATAATCTTTATTAGCCTTTGCTACAAAAAGATACATTTTCCTTCTTCTTCTCTTTCTGAGCTCTGATGAGATGAAGTCTGGTTTTGCATATTAGCAGCTAGCAGGTCCCTTCCATTTACAAAAAATATTCTAATGATCAGACACAAACTTGAAACCAACCTGTAGAAACTGCTCTACTTAAGAAGCCTCCGTACTTTCCAAATAAAGGCTAGAGAACAATCTAAAAATTTCCTTTTAAAAATGGAATCTTACACTTAGATTTTTGTGATATTAAGTATCAATAGCTTAATTCAAATAGAAGAAGTGACAAAGTTGAGCATAAGTAGTAATTGGTGTACTACACCTTTTTCATTTCTGATTTCAGATTACAAGGATTGCTCTGCTGACTGAAGAGGGACTTCTTGAATCTCTCAATGATTCTCCTTTTCAAGTTGCATTGCAAAGCTGGAGGAAGCTATACAAAACAAAGAAACAGATGTTTTCACTGCTCAGTTACACCTCCCATAAAGATGACCTAATCAGCAGTACCATTATTGAAAAAAGTAGCTACACTGCAAAAATAAACACTGATGTTTAATAGCACAGCGATAAACAACAATACAAGACTTGATTTAATGGCATATTATAATAATGCTCCTTAGTTTGCCCATTCTGTTAGACTTGGGATATCACATTACTCAGTCCCTCTAGCCCTGAAGGTAAAGAACATTATAATAAGCCTAATACAGGTAATACTGGATTTGCCTCCCTGATCAAAGTGCTAGTATTTGGGACATTTTTCTACAGATGAAGCCCATAGAACGTTGGACTAGATTTCATGTTGGCTATAATGAGTCACTCCATCTGAAATTAATGGAACTTCAAGAAGCTTAGACCTTCATTCAATGTGTGCAGAAATTAATGTGAATCTTCCTCACAGCTTCAACAGGCTCTTTTAAGGTCCTTATGTACATCTTAATACAATTCAGAATGTCTATTTTGCTAGAAGCTTCCTGTGGGAGGTAATTTACATTTCACTTCTCTATAAAGCAAAACTGATTTTGTATACTTTTTCTCCTGTATTTTTTGGTTGAAAAAATACACATCTTTCAACTATATTTACAAAAGAAAAGCACAAATCACACTTTATTGTGTTTTAAAGTCTTCAATAGACAGTTCAAAGGAGGTCTCTTCCTTTGCTCTTTGAGACTTTAAAGTCATTTTTATGCTCCAACAGTAAACGTAAAACTTCAGCTGTTGGTCACTGCAATGACACCAACCCAGTCTGATGACAATTCTATGGTATGTACTACCCTTTTGGAAGGATCTCCTATGCTGTTTCTGTATAGTTGCTTATACCTGCAGACAGTGTTTATAAAACTGATTTTCTATCATTTAGTATAGAGTTTATAATCACATCACTGATGTAAATTCACAAAGTGCCACTCCATTGAATTCAGGAAGCTTTTTGACTACTCAAGGAAGGTTTGACCACTAAAGATTCACATTCAGACACTGTCACAGTACACATTATAAAGATTTTTTTCCCATTGGAACAAATTACTGCTCTTAGACGGCTATAAATCTGGAACAGCTATATTGGCCTCACCGGAGTCCTGATTTGCTCTGGCAAACCGGGGATCAAGGTTACATCCTAAGCATAAAAGACTTCATCAGACAGCTGGTCGCATATAGTTTTTTGTTACAGATAGATACTACTCTCTTTTCATGCAGATAAGGCCTTACACATATGCTTTAAGTCAGATGTTGAATGTTGCTTAGCCTATAAGTGAGTAAAAAAAATGATGCCTTAGGAAAGGCCTGCAAGATACTCTATAGGCTACATGCCACTGCAATGAACTGCATGCAGTTAATGTGTCATGGGCATACTGGGATATTCTGAAGCAAAGGTGGTAAAGGACAAGTCCACTGTATGAGAAACTCAGAGTTGCCTCAGGCACCAGTGTTCAATTTTAGCTTTTGTTTTAATGAAATCAGATGTCAAATCAGTTAAAAAAAAAAAAATAAGGCCAAGGGTTTACATAATGCTTTTTTAAAAGCTTTCTCTTACATTGTTTTCCAGAGATCACTCTGACTCTTGTTCCCATGGAAACTGGATTGGGAAGGCTGCTGGCAGCCAAGAACTAACAGGCAAGAACTCTCCCTTGTAAACTTCAGTTTAGAATTGTCAGCTGAAATATGTAACAGAGTTTTAGAAAACAGCTATGTATTATAAAAAATATTCTACCTTAGATTTGTAAGAACATAAACAAGTACAAGAGAAGCACATAGTACACAGTGAACAAGTACAGGCATGGATCCTGGTTTCTCTGCCTTCCCATTTCAAAACCAACTGACACTGAAAGCATCGAAGTTGTTACTACTGCTTCAGTGGTCAATTCTGAGTGAGTCTTTGAGTTGCTGTTAGTTCTCAGTTATTGGGCATCCATGTTATGATAACTTGCATTAATTAGTAGGCCACTTAAGAAAACCTTCTTCAGCAGAAAGGGTAGGTTCACTAATGAGCATCTTGGACATACTCCTAATATAGCATGTAAAGACTGAACTGCCTCATTTCTGTTAGCAGGTGAAGGAGATCATTCTTGCATTAAATTCAATCAGTTCCAATTATTTTAAATAACAATTGTTTTCTTTGTCCCTGATAATTTATTTCCTGTATTACCTGTTTTGATAAGCTTGACAGTTTAAAAAATAAAAAAAAAAAGACATGTAAAATACACCCAAATTCAGTTATGCTATTCTGTTCTAAACAAAAACTTACAAATTTGGCTCAGCAATCTGAAATCCCCTGAGGTGATAAAAATCACTTTCCAAATATAAACACTTCATTTTGGAAAATAAAAAGACGTTGATTTAATAATAGCAAATTTCGCAAGTAACTGAATGGCAGCCATCTTTCTGGAGAATAAAAAGTTTTCCATCACATTTTTAGTTGAGAGTTCAATGCAGATTTATATCAGCTCCATTTTTGCTTTGGAATCAGCATGAAATAACTTTAACTCTCTTTCACTATGAAACAGTTGAACTTAATTTTAAAATATATCTGAAGTTTGAAAAAGATCTAACATTTCAAAATATTTAACATATTCAGGATTTGAACTATTGCACTAGAAGTCCCAAGAAATTATTACTATTTATTGATAATAAAAATTATTACTTAGAAGTTATTTAGAAATTATTGCTATAGAGGAAAGCATTTTATGTACTCTCCATGTCAGTATATGATATTAAGTCATTTAAAATATTCATATTGCTGGCATGACAGAATGTTGTAAAAATAATTTACTGTACAATCCATTTTTCTGAGGTGAGCCAATGAATTTTTTTCATATGACTCAATTATTGCCATCCTCCACATACTAATATTCAAGGTTAGTCTTTATTTAAATTATATATTTTTAAAGCATCCTGCCATCTGCAAAAATGTCAAGTTCTGTTGTTTTTAAAGAACAGTGACTAAATTAGCAGCACTTTGCAGTACCATCATTTTGACAACAGCAAATAACTAAAAAGTATAGAATGTCAGAAGCAACAGTAATGCATACTTGAGTGATGAAGATAATTTTGTGCAGCTGAATAAGAATCTGCTGAACAGGGTCACTGATCTGACGCACCTTCCGTTGTGATACAGCAATTCCTGTCGATGCTGTAGATGACAACAGTAAAATCAGGAGGACAGCTCATTTTGTTGCCTTAATATATTAATAGCGTACACCGTTTAAGACCTGTAGATGTAAATACTAAATTTTAATGCATTACTTATTTTTCCAGTAGTGTTGGGAACAAAAAAAAAGGATAATCTAAAAACTTAAAAGATTAGACAATGTAATTGATAATGGGTTTCAAAAGAAAATCCCTTTCTCTGATTCACTTCTAAGTTACTCTAAGAGAAAAGAAGTATTAATGTACCTCACTAATCATAAAAGTTTTCCCATATTTATTCAAAAGGAAAGTTAAAGATATGATAAACAGAATTTTCTTATTTTAACTGATTATTTTTTTACATAGACTAACACACATGATATTTATTTTTAATATATTTTGATGTTAGGAAATTTATTTTGATCTTACCCTAAGAATTACAATAAAATGTCTGATGTGGACCATGTGAAGAACGATTTTATTAAAGTATATTTTAATTGAGGTGCTGGAGCGTGTCTAGAGAAGGGCAACGAGGCTGGTGAGGGGTCTGGAGAACAAGTCTTATGAGGAGC